GGTACCCTATTCCCTCTATAGAGCACTACTTTTGAACAGAGCCCTGGTCAAACACTAAGGTAACCTGCCTAAATGACTACCGACCCGTAGCACTCACTTTGAAGGGCTGGTCATGGCTCACATCAACACCTTATCCCAGAAACCCTAGACCCACTCCAATTTGCATACCGCCCTAACAGATCCACAGATTATGCAATCTCTATTGCTCTCCACACTGTCCTTTCACACCTGGACAAAAGGAACACCTTTCCCCCTTCTGATAACCAGGTGGCGAATCGCATCTCTGCATGTCTGGCCGACATATCAGTATGGATGACGGATCACCACCTCAAGCTGAACCCTGGCAAGACGGAGCTGCTCTTCCTCCCGGGGAAGGACTGCCCGTTCCATGATCTCGCCATCACGGTTGACAACTCCGTTGTGTCCTCCTCCCAGAGTGCGAAGAGCCTTGGCGTGACCCTGGACAACACCCTGTCGTTCTCCGCCAACATCAAGGCGGTGACCCGATCCTGCAGGTTCATGCTCTACAACATTCGGAGAGTACGACCCTGCCTTACACAGGAAGCGGCACAGGTCCTAATCCAGGCACTTGTCATCTCCCGTCTGGATTACTGCAACTCGCTGTTGGCTGGGCTCCCTGCCTGTGCCATTAAACCCCTACAACTCATCCAGAATGCCGCAGCCCGTCTGGTGTTCAACCTTCCCAAGTTCTCTCACGTCACCCCCCTCCTCCGCACACTCCACTGGCTTCCAGTTGAAGCTCGCATCCGTTACAAGACCATGGTGCTTGCCTATGGAGCAGTGAGGGGAACGGCACCTCCGTACCTTCAGGCTCTGATCAGTCCCTACACCCAGGCGAGGGCATTGCGTTCATCCACCTCTGGCCTGCTGGCTCCCCTTCCTCTGCGGAAGCATAGTTCCCGCTCAGCCCAGTCAAAGCTGTTCGCTGCTCTGGCACCCCAATGGTGGAACAAGCTCCCTCACGACGCCAGGACAGCGGAGTCACTCACCACCTTCCGGAGACATTTGAAACCCCACCTCTTTAAGGAACACCTGGGATAGGATAAAGTAATCCTTCTACCCCCCCCCCACCCCCCCAAAAAAAAAAAAAAAAGTATAATTGTAAAGTGGTTATCCCACTGGCTATAGGGTGAATGCACCAATTTGTAGTCGCTCTGGATAAGAGCGTCTGCTAAATGACGTAAATGTACCCTTGAGCAAGGCACTTAACCCTAATTGCTCCTGTAAGTCGCTCTGGATAAGAGCGTCTGCTAAATGACTAAAATGTAAAAATGTAAATGTATGTGAGAATGCTATTCATTGACTACAGCTCAGCATTCAACACCATAGTGCCCTCAAAGCTCATCACTAAGCTAAGGACCCTGGGTCTAAACACCTCCCTCTGCAACTGGATCCTGGACTTCCTGACGGTTCGCCCCCAGGTGGTAAGGGTAGGTAACAACACATCTGCCACGCTGATCCTCAACACGGGGGCCCCTCAGGGGTGCGTGCTCAGTCCCCTCCTGCACTCCCTGTTCACTCATGACTGCATGGCCAGGCACGACTCCAACACCATCATTAAGTTCGCTGTGTGGTGCCAGGACAACAACCTCTCCCTCAACGTGATCAAGACAAAGGAGATGATTGTGGATGTTACGGATACAGGTATCCTGTATGTGTTTTTATGTTTTTCCTCTCCTTCTGTCCTAATCACAGGTGTCCTTTGTGTTCCTGATTGGAGGTCGTTGGTGTGTCCCACCTGTCAGTCATCAGTTCATCTGCTAATTGCTGAGGTGGACCAATCAGTGGCCACTTCTCCTGATTGCACCACCTGTTTCTAGTTTTCATTACCCAATCACATCACACATCCCCTTGTTTTAAAATCCAGTCAGTTGTGTTTTCTGACAGAGACTCTTTTCCTTTGTGAGTATGGATACTGTGGTGTCTTGTTTTTTGTGTACTCACTCATTTGCTGTTTACGCCATATGGTAACTATGTTGTTTGTTCCTGGGAAAAGGGGGATTTAGCAAGTCGCCCTTGGGCATATATTACCCATAGCAGAACCTTGTCTAAAACACTAGTTAGACCTGAGCGGACCACCCACTGTATTTTTGAATGGTTAGCAGTAGCTTAGCGGTTCTTGAAGCAGGCAAGATCAGTTTTTTTGTTGTTGACTTTAATGTTTCATTCCTTGGGTCCTGTCAGCCCCTTTTCCCCAAACCTTTATCGTGTTTTTATAATGAACATTTTAGTGTTTGACGGTAGCTTTTTGGTTGTCGGTGTATTTTTCTTTTTTGTTCTCACTGTTCCTTGGCAATATTCTAATTCGCATTAGTTATGTTACGGGTCTCTTTTCCATCCACCCTAGACTTTTAAAGCCACAGGGTTCGTAACAGTGGACTACAGGAAAAAGAAGAGGACCGAGCACGCCCCTATTCTCATTGACGGGGCTGTAGTGGAGCAGGTTGAGAGCTTCAAGTTCCTTGGTGTTCACATCACCAACAAACTAACATGGTCCAAGTACACCAAGACAGTCGTGAATAAAAGACAACTCCCGAGTGGCGCAGTGGTCTAAGGCACTGCATCGCAGTGCTAGCTGTGCCACTAGAGATCCTGGTTCGAATCCAGGCTCTGCTGTAGCCGGCCGCAACCGGGAGACCAATGGGGCGGCGCACAATTGGCCCAGCGTCGTCCAGGGTAGGGGAGGGAATGGCCGGCAGGGAGGTAGCTCAGTTGGTAGAGCATGGCGTTTGCAACGCCAGGGTTGTGGGTTCGATTCCCATGGGGTATGAAAATTAAAAAGAATAATGTATGCACTAACTGTAAGTCGCTCTGGATAAGAGCGTCTGCTAAATGACGTAAATGTGAAGAGGGCACGACAAGATTTGGCATGGGTCCTCAGATCCTCAAAAGGTTCTACAGCTGCACCATCGAGAGCATCCTGACTGGTTGCATCACTGCCTGGTATGGCAACTGCTCAGCCTCCGACCGCAAGGCACTACAGAGGGTAGTGCGTACGGCCCAGTACTTCACTGGGGCCAAGCTTCCTGCCATCCAGGACCTCTATACAAGGCGGAGTCGGAGGAAGGCCCTAAAAATTGTCAAAGACTCTAGTCATAGACTCTCTGCTACCGCACGGCAAGCGGTACCGGAGTGCCAAATCTAGGTCCAAGATGCTTCTACCCCCAAGCCATAAGACTCCTGAACATCTAATCAAATGGCTACCCCCCTTTTACGCTGCTGCTACACTCTGTTTATTATCTATGCATAGTCACTTTAATAACTCTACCTACATGTACATATTACCTCGACTAACCGGTGCCCCCACACATTGACCCGGTACCCCCTGTATATAGCCTCGCTATTGTTATTTTACTGCTGCTCTTTTAATTATTTGTTACTTTTGTTTCTTTTTTTTAGGTATTCTTTCTTAAAACTGCATCGTTGGTTAAGGGCTTTTAAGTAAGCATATCACTGTAAGGTCTACACCTGTTGTATTCGGCGCATGTGACAAATACGATTTGATTATTATATTCTACTGAGCAATTTACATTGTTTGTACTCTTATCTTTTAGTATTTCTTATTGTTGTGAAGGAACCTGCAAGTAAGCGTTTAATTGGACAGTGTATCCGGTACATACAGCTAATAAAACTTGATGGATGAAAACACCCAGACTTCTGACTGAGGCAGCTAAAATTCTGTTTCTGAAGCCTTACTGCCTGTACAGTAGATTTAGGGCTGTACACTGAATTTCTGTGTCCACTGTATCCTATCAGGACAGGAGCACATCTGCAGTGCACAGACTCATGAAACTGAGCTTCACAAAGCTGGGCTGTAGTCTACCTTCATAAAGTTGGTTAAAGACTTGAGCAACTCTTCATTTGATTTAGATTGATTCAAATATACTGGCTATTATGTGGTGTGTGAGACTGAAACTTCTTCTTGAAAGTGTTTAATTTATCTATTTTGAAAGCAGCTAATAGCCCGTCATATAACAGGTCCCTGTTTTGTCAATGTGACAGTATTGTTTAGGCAGATGCCAGTCCCTCTCATGGCCCATGGACATTCAGAGACTTGATCAAGCTTGTTTCCTGTCATCATATCAATTAAAAGAGACGTGTGTCTATTAATAGGGAGTTGTTGCAAGATTCCAGGAACATTCAATAAATTCCCTGTTTTTCCCGAAATCCTGCTTGGAGGATTCCCAGAATCAGGAGTGAATAAGCAGGAAATCCGGAATCCTCTAACCAGGATTTCTGGAAAACCAGGGAGGGAATTTATTGAAAGTTCCTGGAATTTTGCAACTCTAGTTGTGATATCTCTAGGAAGGAAGAGAGAGTGTCTGACACTTAAATTATTGTTATTCACAGATCACAGGGTAGCTTGGTAGCTTTGATTCTAACTTGGTCTGTTTTACATAGTTGTAGTAAACCCAAACCGAGGACTTTCTGGAACTTAAAACCTAATGCAGAACTAGTGAAAGTGTCACGACTTCCGCCGAGGCTGCCTCCCCTCCTTGTTCGGGCAGGTTTCGGCGTTCGGCGTCACCGGCTTACTAGCTACTGCCGATCCATTTATCATCACTCCATTTGTCTTGTCTTCAATCACACACCTTGTCCTTATTCCCTCATTAGTCATGGTATAAGTGTTCCCTCTGCTTCCTTGTCTGTGTGGGTGATTGTTTGTAGAGGTTAGTGAAGCTCGGTGGAGCTCGTGTATTGTGTATCGACGGGAGTATTTTTCCTGCGTGCCTTGTATTTTCCAGTGTGCCTGTTTTGTGCCCTGGAGTGTGTGTGACGCATTTCTGCGTAAACCTGTATTTTGCGGATTAAAGCCTGTTATTCTGTGATTTACCCTCCTGCACCTGACTCCATCATTACCACCTCATCACAGAAAGACCATCCTAAACACCTATTCCCCATTGATGTTGAACCTCTTGAAAATAACTAATCTTCCCTTTCAATCCTTTCATCTCGAGAATGTGAAAGGCCTTTGTTGAATGCTTGCGAGGGTCTGTACTGAAGTATTTAGCCAGACAAGCACCCCATTCCCATAGAAACCTTTGGTAGTGCTTGCATACCTGCATGCTGAGTAGTCTAGTCATGCTGTTGCTTGTGTCTTGTCCTCAGAGGTTGGGAGAGCTAGTGCTGGGCTTCCTGGAGCGAGACCTCCAACCGTTCTGCCAGCTGGCCTGTCTGGAGACCATCCGCATCCTGTCACGTGACAAGAACAACGTGGCGCCCTTCATCACACACATTGCTATGCAGACCCTCAGCCGACACGCCGGCATTGCCATCACCCACGGCAATGTGGACAACGAAGGCGGCGTGGTCCTCGTGCCCGTCGCTGAGAACCCGGACCTGGAGGTCATCGTAGAGGCGCTGAAGAGCCTCTGTAACATCTGTTTGCACAACAAGGTGGAGAATGAAGAGGGAGATATGATATACTGTATATACATTGGGGAAAAAAAGTATTTAGTCAGCCACCAATTGTGCAAGTTCTCCCACTTAAAAAGATGAGAGAGGCCTGTAATTTTCATCATAGCTACACGTCAACTATGACAGACAAAATGAGAAAAAAAAATCCAGAAAATCCCATTGTAGGATTTTTTATGAATTTATTTGCAAATTATGGTGGAAAATAAGTATTTGGTCACCTACAAACAAGCAAGATTTCTGGCTCTCACAGACCTGTAACTTCTTCTTTCAGAGGCTCCTCTGTCCTCCACTCGTTACCTGTATTAATGGCACCTGTTTGAACTTGTTATCAGTATAAAATACACCTGTCCACAACCTCAAACAGTCACACTCCAAACTTCACAATGGCCAAGACCAAAGAGCTGTCAAAGGACACCAAAAACAAAATTGTAGACCTGCACCAGGCTGGGAAGACTGAATCTGCAATAGGTAAGCAGCTTGGTTTGAAGAAATCAACTGTGGGAGCAATTATTAGGAAATGGAAGACATACAAGACCACTGATAATCTCCCTCGATATGGGGCTCCACGCAAGATCTCACCCCGTGGGGTCAAAATGATCACAAGAACGGTGAGCAAAAATCCCAGAACCACACGGGGGGACCTAGTGAATGACCTGCAGAGAGCTGGGACCAAAGTAACAAAGCCAACCATCAGTAACACACTACGCCGCCAGGGACTCAAATCCTGCAGTGCGAGACGTGTCCCCCTGCTTAAGCCAGTACATGTCCAGGCCCGTCTGAAGTGCATTTGGATGATCCAGAAGAGGATTGGGAGAATGTCATATGGTCAGATGAAACCAAAATATAACTTTTTGGTAAAAACTCAACTCGTCATGTTTGGAGGACAAAGAATGCTGAGTTGCATCCAAAGAACACCATACCTACTGTGAAGCATGGGGTTGGAAACATCATGCTTTGGGGCTGTTTTTCTGCAAAGGGACCAGGACGACTGATCCGCGTAAAGGAAAGAATGAATGGGGCCATGTATCGTGAGATTTTGAGTGAAACCCTCCTTCCATCAGCAAGGGCATTGAAGATGAAACGTGGCTGGGTCTTTCAGCATGACAATGATCCCAAACACACCGCCCGGGCAACGAAGGAGTGGCTTCGTAAGAAGCATTTCAAGGTCCTGGAGTGGCCTAGCCAGTCTCCAGATCTCAACCCCATAGAAAATCTTTGGAGGGAGTTGAAAGTCTGTGTTGCCCAGCGACAGCCCCAAAACATCACTGCTCTAGAGGAGATCTGCATGGAGGAATGGGCCAAAATACCAGCAACAGTGTGTGAAAACCTTGTGAAGACTTACAGAAAACGTTTGACCTGTGTCATTGCCAACAAAGGGTATATAACAAAGTATTGAGAAACTTTTGTTATTGACCAAATACTTATTTTCCACCATCATATGCCAATAAATTCATTAAAAATCCTACAACGTGATTTTCTGGATTTTTTTTTCTCATTTTGTCTGTCATAGTTGACGTGTACCTATGATGAAAATTACAGGCCTCTCTCATCTTTTTAAGTGGGAGAACTTGCACAATTGGTGGCTGACTAAATACTTTTTTTCCCCACTGTATATGTATATATGATAGGTACTGTATATCCCATACTTGAAAATAACATACTGTGCAAAAATAATATTTAGATAAAGAAATGAGGCCAGAATATGCCGAATATACAGTGGCTTGCGAAAGTATTCACCCCCCTTGGCATTTTTCCTATTTTGTTGCCTTACAACCTGGAATTAAAATTGATTTTTGGGGGGTCTGTATCATTTGATTTACACAACATGCCTGACAGACAAAAAAACTGAACATGCATAACTATTCACCCCACCCCCCCAAAGTCAATACTTTGTAGAGCCACATTTTGCAGCAATTACAGCTGCAAGTCTCTTGGGGTATGTTTCTATAAGCTTTGCACATCTAGCCACTGGGAGTTTTGCCCATTCTTCAAGGCAAAACCGCTCCAGCTCCTTCAAGTTGGATGGGTTCCGCTGGTGTACAGCAATCTTTAAGTCATACCACAGATTCTCAATTGGATTGAGGTCTGGGCTTTGACTAGGCCATTCCAAGACATTTAAATGTTTCCCCTTAAACCACTCGAGTGTTGCTTTAGCAGTATGCTTAGGATCATTGTCCTGCTGGAAGGTGAACCTCCGTCCCAGTCTCAAATCTCTGGAAGACTGAAACAGGTTTCCCTCAAGAATTTCCCTATATTTAACGCCATCCATCATTCCTTCAATTCTGACCAGTTTCTTAGTCCCTGCCGATGAAAAACATCCCCACAGCATGATGCTGCCACCACCATGCTTCACTGTGATGGTGTTCTTTGGGTGATGAGAGGTGTTAGGTTTGCACCAGACATAGCATTTTCCTTGATGGCCCAAAAGCTCAATTTTAGTCTCATCTGACCAGAGTACCTTCTTCCATATGTCTCCCACATGCCTTTTGGCGAACACCAAATGTGTTTGCTTATTTTTTTCTTTAAGCAATGGCTTTTGTCTGGCCACTTCCATAAAGCCCAGCTCTGTGGAGTGTACGGCTTAAAGTGGTCCTATGGACAGATACTCCAATCTCCGCTGTGGATCTTTGCAGCTCCTTCAGGGTTATCTTTTGTCTCTTTGTTGCCTCTCTGATTAATGCCCTCCTTGCCTGGTCCATGAGTTTTGGTGGGTGGCCCTCTCTTGGCAGGTTTGTTGTGGTGCCATATTCTTTCAATTTTTTTTATAATGGATTTAATGGTGCTCCGTGGGATGTTCATGTTTTTTTATAACCCAACCCTGATCTGTACTTCTCCACAACTTTGTCCCTGACCTGTTTGGAGAGCTCCTTGGTCTTCATGGTGCCGCTTGCTTGGTGGTGCCCCTTGCTTAGTGGTGTTGCAGACTCTGGGGCCTTTCAGAACAGGTGTATATAAACTGAGATCATGTGACACTTCGATTGCACACAGGTGAACTTTATTTAACTAATTATGTGACTTCTGAAGGTAATTGGTTGCACCAGATCTTATTTAGGGGGGTCATAGGAAAGGGGTTGAATACATATGCACACACCAATTTTCCGTAATTTATTTTTTAGAATTTTTTGAAACAAGTAATTTTTTTCATTTCACTTTACCAATTTTGACTATTTTGTGTATGTCCATTACATGAAATCCAAATAAAAATCAATTTAAATTACAGGTTGTAATGCAACAAAATAGGAAAAATGCCAAGGGGGATGAACACTTTTGCAAGGCACTGTAGCTGCTCCCCTAACAGCTTTTTATTCCTATACACCATAATGATATAATCATTTCGGTAACAAATCTATGCAGTACATACAGACCTTTATAATTAAGTGATAATGCCTGAGAAGCCTGTGTTTATAGGATATTCGTCTCGGACCTGCAAACCGTGCCAATATATGCCCCAAACACCGGCTTCGAGGGCATTATCACTTTTATACAACGGGTTACCAACATATTCAAATAATAATTGACATATTTTCATTAAAAACGTTATTTTGATTAATTTATTCATACTATTTCATCCTTCCACAAGATATAGTCCCGACACAAATCTAGGGTTGCTAGAGACGTGAACCAGTCGCTCAGTCTTTTTGTTCTGTATCTATGGACGCGACCCAGTCGTTTGTTCTAAATGTTCCATTGCCATACTGGCTGGCAACATTCTTATCCCTTGCTTGCTAGCCAACTACAGCTTACAGTCACGTCAAAAAGTGCAGCCAGAATAACAGCAAAGTAGCTGCATTTGCATTTGTTTAAGCTCTTTTCTAGTGACATTTGTTTGGATACATCCATAATAATGAGCAATTGAGGCACGATTTCGCCTGGCATAGAACATGTGCTAACTCATCAGGACACTGTTGTTCAGAGGAGCTAGCCAACAACACAGCTACAGTAACACAATCACTTCAAACTGAAGCCGGAAAGACTGGAAATTAGCTGCATTTCGTTGTACCTTTTTTCAATGTACTTTTCTTTGTATATATCCATATAAATGATGTCAGCTGATTCATGATTTCGACCGGCTGCGAAATGCTGCCTGCCTGTCTCGTCCTGACTCCCGACACGTTCATTACTATGGGACAGCTGGAGGTTTAATTTCAATATTGAAACAATGTTGCAAATGTCGGAGAGACAGACAGCAAAGTTTATACAAATCTCCGCTGTTGAAAACGAAATGTTAGTCTAAAAGAAATGTGAGATAATGTCTAGATGCTTTTTATAGTGGAGATCAAGTTTATAAGTTGCCTTGCTGGGCTGATGAGACAGTGGATTGCGCAGTCAGATGGAACAGAGTAAATAGGCATTTTAACGTCATAGATTTAGCGGGTGGCAACTTGTGGAATAGACACTGGCTGGAATGCAGTTTTAACTAATCAGCATTCAGGATTAGACCCACCCGTTGTATAATGCCTTATAATACACTTATAATGGGTTATGACACTGATAACACTCTTTAATTCATTAACCACCACCCAGGTGGCTGTGGGGGTGGGCCAGGAGCTTCAGCTGATCGTGGGCATCGCGGAGCGTCTCAAGCAGGGCGGCGAGGACCAGTGGAACCACTACGTAAGGTTCTTTGACCTGCGCCTCATGTTCCTCCTCACCGCCCAGCGCGTGGAGATGCGTACCCAACTCTTGAGGGAGCTGCGGGGGGTCAGTCTGCTGTCCAACCACCTGGATGCTACACTGGGGCTGTGCTGGCCGGATACCTTCGAGGTGGGGCGGGCCGGGGTGGAGGTCGATCTAGACGCGGAGGAGCCAGCGGAGCTGCCCCCTCTCAGTAGGGAGAAGATAGAGAGAGCCATGGAGATCCTGAAGATCCTCTTCAATATCACCTACGACGCCAACCGCCGGGAGGTGGATGAGGTGAGCACTGAGAGGAGAAGATGTGCCATAGGGTATTACTGTATATTTATTGTGTTGGTAACACTTGAGTTAAGGCTTGCAGGTATAATAATGCAGTTATAATGTATTGTAGAGTTCAAATGATTTAAAGGGCAATTATGCCACTTTTCAACCTCATGTTCATTATCTCCAGCACCATACCAGTGTCTACATATGTGAAAATGTTTCTATGATCTGTGGTTAAAAAGCTAAGAGCGACTCCTTGTGGCGGGCCGGGCGCCTGCATGCTGACTTCGGTCACCAGTTGTACAGTGTTTTCTCCGACACATTGGTGCGGCTGGCTTCCGGGTTAAGCAAGCAGTGTGTCAAGAAGCAGTGCGGCTTGGCAGGGTCGTGTTTCGGAGGACGCATGGCTCTCGACCTTCGCCTCTCCAGAATCCGTACGGGAGTTGCAGCGATGGGACAAGACTGTAACTACCAATTGGATATCACGAAATTGGGGAGAAAAAGGGTAAAAAGTAAACAAATTTAACAAAAATAATAATAAGAAACGTCCTAAAAAATGCTACTCTGTGACATCACAGGGTAGGATTAAAAGTACGAAAAAACATAATTTTCAATATCTGCTACGAGTTTCCAGCCAGAGGGAGGGTATTTTCTTGCTCCCCACATCATAGTGTTTGAAAATCACTGATTTAAAATGTTTTAACTTTTGATGATGTCCTCGTATAACCTTTGAACTTTATATTGTTTTCTACAAAATGTAGAAATGTGCAGTTTTTACATATGTAGACACTGGTATTGTACTGGAGATAATAAAAATGAGGTTGAAAAGTGGTGGAATTGCCCTTTAAGTGTCACTCCACAATTATACAATAATTGACAATACAAGATACTGATAAATAAATAAAAACATTGTGGACCATTAAAATAGAGTTTTGAGACACAAAACAAACATGGTACAGTATTTCCTTCTGGTAGGTGTGCAATTTGTTACTTTTGTAAGACTTGTTGTGAACATGTAAGACCCCTTATGCCTGATTATCAGTTATTTCATAATAATGCAGGCTTTACATAAAATGTCACCAAATTGCATTGTGTTGTAGTTGTACATTAACTTTCTGATAATCACAGTGTTTGTTGTTATTGATCTGTTCTGCTGAACCTGTAGGAGGAAACAGCATCGTTCAGACACCTAGGAGCCATCCTCAGACACTGTGTGATGAGCACAGCTGACGGAGAGGACTACACAGAGGAGTTTCACAGGTGAGAGTACAGGTCTTATTATGTTCATAAATATGTTCTGAAGCTAAACCAGGGATGTCAAACTCAATTCCTTGAGGGCAGTCCTGTGTGTCTGCTGGTTTTGTAATTTCCTTTCAATTTGTGTCGAATTAAGGCCTAGACAACCTGGTGATGACCTGGTTGATATTAACCTGGTGATGACCTGGTTGACATTAACCTGGTGATGACCTTGTTGACATTAATTGTTCAATCAAGTAACGGAGGAGCGAAAACCCGCATACACTGCCCTTCAGGAATTGAGTTTAACACCCCTGAGCGAAACGGTGTCCTGTGATAACCCTTTGTGTTTCTCCTGGGCTGCAGTCATTCACTGAACCTGCTGGGGAACCTCCCTCTGCCCTGTCTGGATGTGTTGCTGTTGCCCAAGGTCCAGCAGGGCTCCATAGAGTACATGGGAGTCAACATGGACGCAGTCAACATGCTACTGGAGTACATGGAGAAGAGGCTAGACAGGGTGAGCTGCCTGGGTCCCTCAACAACAGGTCCACACAAACATGCTGGTACAGATGCTCAATGGAGTTTTCCTTATTCAATCTTGTTCTAAGGGACAGCTTTGCCTCGAAGGCAGAATAAATGCAATTGGTTGGATCAACGGTGTGTGGGCGAGTTTACAGCACCCAAGATGGAAGTAGGGAAAACTCTAATCTGCATAACATCCACATAGGCTCAGGGATTCAAACCAGTGACCTTTCAGTTACTGGCCAAATGCTCTTAACCACTAGGCTACCAGCTCTTTTCTACTCTGTGTTTCTTGACCTCCTCTCTGTGTACCATCCACCATCTCTTAAGAGGTGTTTACAGGTAATGGAATAATGTCCCTGCAGAGGGTGCCTGGCTGTATGGCTGTTATGTGATTACGTCTCCAAATGGGATGTTATTGTTCTTGTGAATGGAGTTATGATGGTGTTATGGAAGGCACAACAGTGTCTTTGGGGATATGGGCAAAACAACCAGGGCACAGCTGGGAGTTTAATCAAAGTGATGAAACAGACAGTCTCCTCCATAAGTGATAGACATTGCAATAACATTAATCTAGACAACCAGAACCAAATCTTGTGAGAGACTACAATAATATCTGTCAAATAAAACCTACAATATCTGTCTGTTTGGGTCTAGTTGAAGAGGTTGTGGTTATATCTGTCTAATAACAGCTATGTGTCTGGGTCTCCAGGGCAAGAAGCTGAAGGAGACCTTGCTGCCGTCTCTCAACCTGCTCACAGAGAGTGCACGCATCCACAGAGAGACCAGGAAGTTCCTCAGGATGAAGGTACAGTGCCTTCGGAAAGTATTCAGACCCCTTGACTTTTTCCTTTTGTTAGGTTACTGCATTATTCTAAAATTGAATCTACAAACAATACCCCATAATGTTGTTTGTTTGTTGAAATATCACATTTACATACGTTTTCAGACCCTTTACTCAGTACTTTGTTGAAGCACCTTTGGAAGCGATTACAGCCTCTAGTCGTCTTGGGTATGACACTACAAGCTTGGCACACCTGTATTTGGGGAGTTTCTCCCATTCGTCTCTGCAGATCCTCTCAAGCTCTGGTTGGATGGGGAGTGTTGCTGCACAGCTATTTTCAGGTCTCTCCAGAGATGTTCGATCGGGTTCAAGTCCGGGCTCTGGCTGGGCTACTCAAGGACATTCAGAGACTTATCCCGGAGCCACTCCTGCATTGTCTTGGCTGTGTGCTTAGGGTCGTTGTCTTGTTGGAAGTTGTACCTTCGCCCCATTCTGAGGTCCTGAGCGCTCTGGAGCAGGTTTTCATCAAGGATCTCTCTGTACTTTACTCTGTTCATCTTTGCCTTGATCCTGACTAGTCTCCCAGTCCCTCCCGCTGAAAAACATCCCCACAGCATGATGCTGCCACCACCATGCTTAACCGTAGGGATGGTGCCAGGTTTCCTCCAGACGTGATGCTTGGCATTCAGGCCAAAGAGTTCAATCTTGGTTTCATCAGACCAGAGAATCTTGTTTTTCATTTGTCTGAGAGTCCTTTAGGTGCCTTTTGGCAAACTCCAAGCGGGCTGTAATGTGCCTTTTACTGAGGAGTGGCTTCCGTCTGGCCACTCTACCATAAAGGCCTGATTGGTGAAGTGCTGCAGAGATGGTTGTCCTTCTGAAACGTTCTCCCATCTCCACAGAGGAACTCTAGAGCTCTGTCAGAGTGACCATTGGGTTCTTGGTCACCTCCCTGACCAAGACCCTTCTCCCTCCCTCTCAGTTTGGCCGGGCGGCCAGCTCTAGGAAGAGTCTTGGTGGTTCCAAATTTCTTCCATTTAAGAACGATGGAGGCCACTGTGTTCTTGGGACCTTCAATGCTGCAGAAATGTTTTGGTACCCTTCCCCAGATCTGTGCCTCGACACAATCCTGTCTCGAAGCTCTGCGGACAATTCCTTTGACCTCATGACTTGGTTTTTGCTCTGTCATGAATTGTTAACTGTGGGACCTTATATAGACAGGTCTGTGCCCTTCCAAATCATGTCCAAACAACTGAATTTACCACAGGTGGACTCCAATCAAGTTGTAGAAATATCTCAAGGAGGATCAATGGAAACAGGATTAACCTGAGATCAATTTTGAGTCTCATAGCAAAGGGTCTGAGTACTTATGTAAATAAGGTATTTCTGTGTTTTGCAAAACGTTCTAAAAACCTGTTTTCGCTTTGTCATTATGGGGTATTGTGTGTAGATTGCTGAGTAATTGTTTTTATTTAATTCATTTTAGAATATGTCTGTAACGTAACAAAATGTGGAAAAAGTCAAGGGGTCTGAATACTTACCGAAGGCGCTGTACGTGATTGGACGTTTCATCTCATAATTCGTCCAACTGTTAGTCAATTATGGGTTTTTCATGTGTGTGTGTGTGTGTGTGTGCGTGCTTGCGTGCATAGGTACTCCCTCCACTGAGGGATGTGACGAATCTACCAGAGGTGGGGAACGCCCTTCGCAACAAGCTCGTTCGCCTGATGACCAACATTGACACGGACGTCAAGAACTGTTCAGCAGAGTTCCTATTTGTCCTGTGCAAAGAAAGTGGTGAGGAGGACCTGTTTTTCTCAGCATATAAAATAGTTATTTCATTTTCCACAAATCCATATGCCAATGTACTGTATATGAATGTGAAATGACTCATGTAGAATATAATAGAATACAGTAGAACACAACGGAATAGAATATCAACTTAATATTAACACATAGATGTGATGAAAACTAGGATTTGTAATACCATTCTTCTCCACCATCCACACCCCCTTCCATCCCCTTCCATTCACTGTGCAGTGTCCAGGTTCATTAAGTATACAGGCTATGGTAACGCAGCAGGTCTCCTGGCTGCCCGGGGGCTGTTGCGAGGGGGGAGCAACCCAGGCATCTACTCTGAAGACGAGGACAGCGACACAGAAGAGTACCGAGAGGCCAAATCTCAGTGAGTTGAATTTAACTTTATTGAGAATGGAGACGTGATGTGTTGGCTCTTAGGAAACAGACACAGCTTTCACTCTTGAAATAACATGTACAGTGCCTTGCAAAAGTATTAAACCCCCTTGGCGTTTTTCCTATTTTGTTGCATTACAACCTGCATTTTCACTTCACAAATTGATTTTTATTTGGATTTCATGTAATGGACATACAAAATAGTCAAAATTGGTGAAGTGAAATGAAAAAGATAACTTGTTTCAAAAAAAATTACAAAATAAATAACGGAAAAGTGGTGCGTGCATATGTATTCACCCCCTTTGCTATGAAGCCCCTAAATAAGATCTGGTGCAACCAATTACCTTCAGAAGTCACATAATTAGTTTAAAAAAGTCCACCTGTGTGCAATCTAAGTGTCACATGATCTGTCACATGATCTCAGTATATATACACCTGTTCTGAAAGGCCCCAGAGTCTGCAACACCACTAAGCAAGGTGCACCACCAAGCAAGCAGCACCATGAAGACCAAGGAGCTCTCCAAACAGGTCAGGGACAAAGTTGTGGAGAAGTACAGATCAGGGTTGGGTTATAAAAAAATATCCAACACTTTGAACATCCCACAGAGCACCATTAAATCCATAAAAAAATGGAAAGAATATGGCACCACAACAAACCTGCCAAGAGAGGGCCGCCCACAAAAACTCACGAACCAGGCAATTAGGGTATTAATCAGAGAGGCAACAAAGAGACAAAAGATAACCCTGAAGGAGCTGCAAAGCTCCACAGCGGAGATTGGAATATCTGTCCATAGGCCACTTTAAGCCGTACACTCCACAGAGCTGGGCTTTACGGAAGATTGGCCAGACAAAAGCCATTGCTTAAAGACAAAAATAAGCAAACACGTTTGGTGTTCGCCAATAGGCATGTAGGAGACTCCCCAAACATATGGAAGAAGGTACTCTGGTCAGATGAGACTAAAATTGCGCTTTTTGGCCATCAAGGAAAACGCTATGTCTGGCGCAAACACAACACCTCTCATCACCCCGAGAACACCATCCCCACAGTGAAGAATGGTGGTGGCAGCATCATGCTGTGGGGATGTTTTTCATCGGCAGGGACTGGGAAACTGGTCAGAATTGAAGGAATTATGGATGGCGCTAAATACAGGGAAATTCTTGAGGGAAACCTGTTTCAGTCTTCCAGAGATGTGAGACTGGGACAGTGGTTCACCTTCCAGCAGGACAATGACCCTAAGCATACTGCTAAAGCAACACTTGAGTGGTTTAAGGGGAAACATTTAAATGTCTTGGAATGGCCTAGTCAAAGCCCAGACCTCAATCCAATTGAGAATCTGTGGTATGACTTAACGATTGCAGTACACCAGCGGAACCCATCCAACTTGAAGGAGCTGTAGCAGTTTTGCCTTGAAGAATGGGCAAAAATCCCAGTGGCTAGATGTGCCAAGCTTATAGAGACATACCCCAAGAGACTTGCAGCTGTAATTGCTGCAAAAGGTGGCTCTACAAAGTATTGACTTTGGGGGGTTGAATAGTTATGCACGCTCAAGCTTTCTGTTTTTTTGTCTTATTTCTTCTTTGTTTCACAAGAAAAAATATTTAGCATCTTCAAAGTAGTAGGCATGTTGTGTAAATCAAATGATACAAACCCCCCCAAAAATCGATTTTAATTCCAGGTTGTAAGGCAACTGTCACGATCGTCGTAATAAGTGGACCAAGGCGCAGCGTGATATGCGTACATACTTTTAATAGTACTTAATACACGATACAACAAAACAACAAAACGAAACGTGAAGTCCTCGGTTAACAAACACAAACCTACACGGAACAAGATCCCACAAATGACAAGTGCACAACAGGCTGCCTAAGTATGGTTCCCAATTAGAGACAACAAGAGACAGCTGCCTCCGATTGGGAACCACCCCGGCCAACACAGAAACACACGATCTAGAAAAGAACACATAGAAAACAAACATAGAACCTAACACCCAGAAACTAACACATAGAAACGAACACCCTGGCTCAACATATAAAAGTCCCCAGAGCCAGGGCGTGACAGTAACAAAATAGGAAAAATGCCAAGGGGGGTGAATACTTTCTCAAGCCACTGTAAACATCCTTAATTTCGAAGATTAAAAAATCTATGATTAATGTTTAAATTCGTCCATCTTGTCCCTCATCACACTGAGTAGCCTAACGTTCTTTTATTCTCTATCCCTGCCAGAATTAACCCTGTGACGGGCAGAGTGGAGGATGAGCAGCCCAACCCCATGGAGGGAATGACAGAGGAACAGAAGGAGTTGGAGGCCATGAAGCTGGTCAACATGTTTGATAAGCTCTCCAGGTACAGTACAGATGCCTTTTTAAAGTAGCCTAATCTCTGATCTAAAATGGTCGGATAGGTGAAACCCAGGACTCCGCTACATAGCTTACAGCAACCCAGGCATGTCAGATCAGGGATTACTCTAAAGAAGAGTGTAAGGAAGGATGTATTTATTTGAACAGGGCCACAGACACAGATAGGGGCAGGCCTTAGCAGCAGCTCACTGCAGCAGTGCTACAGGCTCCCAGCAGGTGTCCTCATCCCTTCCCTTCCAACTGAGGTTCATACGTCATTAATGTGGCCCTGTGTAGCTCAGTTGGTAGAGCATGGCGCTTGCAACACCAGGCTTGTGGGTTTGTTTCCCACTGGGGGCCAGTATGATTTTTTTTTATACACTCACTAACTGTAAGTCGCTCTGGATAAGAGCGTCTGCTAAAAATACTAAAATGTATAAAATTAATGAGCTGAGGCATGAGCTGTTACCAAAAGACAGAGGATTCATGTATTCCACCCTCGCCACAGTATAACTGTTTAACTTTCTCATAGATAAAACCCTTTATAGAATGTAATATAAATATTCGGTACAATAATAAACATGTACTGTTATCAATAATAAATGGTAATGAACACTGCATTTAAGCCATATGTATTGTAATGAGCCAATCATCATAAATATTTGTTGAGTTGAGACTTCTCTCTTTTTCAGGTCCAATATTATCCAGCCGATGATGCTGGGGAGTGATGGTTCCATGACACAGATGAATTCTGGAGACCTGCGACGAATGACAGACCAGACACCACAGGGACAACAACTAAACCTAGAACCATAACTACACTTAGAACCACAACTACAATTAGAGCCACCACAACAACAACAACGACCAAAAGAACAACAACAACATGGCTCAGGCAGCGAGGAGGAGGATGAGGGTAGAATGAATAAAAGGACTATCACCTGTTTTGTAGCTTCTGTCACAGGCTCAAGCCTGGGTGTCTGAAGCTTATCAGTGCAGGCATGTTTACATGCTTTGCAAGAAGAACGATTTTCCTAATAATCCTGTTTACATGGACACATCTGAAATCAGGCTACCTGATGGCACTCTGATAAATGCTGAAAATCGCTGGATTTAATTATAAAGATTGCTTAGAAAACCCGGTTTACGACGATTAAGATAAACAGAGTAAGGTGTTTACGTGACTATTGCATAATCTACCTACTGCCATAATCAGTTGAATATCGAATTATTAGTGTGCATGTAAACGTTTGTGATGGAAATTTTAATGTTGGTGCTTTTCTATTCTATACATTTCTATGTTCTATTCATGTGCTGTTCTAATAACCAATTTCTGTGTTCATGCAAGTGACTGACGAATCCTCACTTATCAGTAGCTGCAATTTGGCAGTATGCCCAGACCTTTGTTTTGAGAACGAAAGATATCTCAGTTTCAAGGTCTCATCTTAGAGAGAAGAAGCCTCGTGAGGTATTGGTCTGTCACATATTATGAACCAGTATTGGTCGGTCACATGAATGAAACAAAACGTTAATGATCAATTCATTATGCTAAATCATGCAAATATAACTTGTCTGTGTATAGCCCCAGCAGAGCTCCTTGTCGACATGTGTACATGTGGTGCATTGAGTTGGTTGGAACCTCTCCAGCACGCTGACAATAAACGATGATTCATTTAAGATTGACTTCGAGTGTCCCTAGTGGTAATTTCCACGACATGGTGTAGAATTTCCATGACACATACTCAATGACTGTGTAGTAAATACAGGTTTTGAGTAGCATGTGAAATGTAAACTAGATTCTTAAATCCAAAAATGTGTTCTGGGTTGTGTTTAACTGTAGGTGGCATTTTAGCTGCTTCTATCAGTGTGTTTGGATTGGGACTATGGGTGTGTGTTCTGCCTTTTATAGTTGAAATACTTGAAATATTGGGCTCATCAAATCAAATTTATTTATAAAGCCCTTTTTACATCAGCAGATGTCACAAGTGCTTATACAGATAACCAGCCTAAAACCCAGTCCTCTTCTGGCTGTGCGTGGTGGAGATTATAAGAGTACATGGCCATTAAAACCAGATTGTTCAAACGTTCATAGATGACCAGCAGGGTCAAATAATAATCACAGTAGTTGTAGCGGGTGCATCAGGTCAGCACCTCAAGACTAAATGTCAGTTGGCTTTTCATAGCCGAGCATTCAGAGGTCGAGACAGCAGGTGCGGTAGAGAGGGAGAGGGAGAGAAAGAGTGGGAGAGGGAGGGTTGAAAACAGTAATCTGCCTACTGTCATAATCCTTTCTGGTAAATGTTGTTTCAAGTTGAATCTTGTTTACATTCTCAAAAGACAGAATGAAACAGTGTGATGAGTTCCCCTTTATTTGACCCAGTGTTTTTCCTTGCGTTGCACATTTTATTGAAATTATTAATGGAATAAAATGATTAATGAATGTGTCCTATGTTTCTGTAAACTGTGCAATCTTTTGAAAGGTGCATTGTTCTAAACTAGTGCACAGAGAGCCTCAAAAGGAAGTAGAATATCTGACTATATTATGAAGCATTTGATATGTTATGTGATACCTGACGTTTTTTTGGATGGATGATCTTGATATGGTGTGCATCTGTGCTATCTCAGTTATGTGCACATTTCTGTCCAGAACGGGAATTTTAGGTGGTTTCATATGGTAATTGTAAAGTTGGATGAAAAGAATAAAATGATATATTTCCCTCATTTAAATTGTATACAAACTCTAATGTGAGGTTCAGTAAAACATGTTTAAAACATTGTCTCTTGAATTGTCATGTTTAATAAATACATATTCGTGGCAATTTATTTTCCTTTTACAGAAATTATCAGGTATTTAATTAGTAAAGTACAATTACTAATATACTAATACTCTTAGTAAAAGTATTTATCTTCACCTCGCAATCTGTGGATTCTATTCGATCAGATAGATTGAAATTGCACGTTAAACATCACAGCATAGTTGAAGGGGGGGGGTTGGTTTGCTCTCGGGAACAGTTGGGGGATTTTGGATGGTTGGTCCTGCTCCCCGATTTGACTTGGAGGGAAATAAGAGGTGTCATATCAGGTGAACACAGCTACTGTAAAGATGAGATGAACATCTTAGGTTATTAGGTAAATAGATGAAGAGGAGAATCAGAATATGATATGGATACTATCGCCCAGTGTTTCCCAATCCTGGTCCTGGGGACCCAAAGGAGTACACATTTTTCAAATGTTATTTGTCACATGCACCGAATACAACAGGTGTAGACCTTACAGTGAAATGCTTACTTACAAGCCCTTAACCAACAATGCAGTTTTAAGTAAAACACATTTAACATGCTGGTAGAAATTAGGTAAAATGGATTTAAGTTTACCTGCATTAAAGTCCCTGGCCACTAGGAGCGCCGCCTCTAGAGGAGTGTTTTCCTGTTTTCTTATGGCCTTATACAGCTCATTGAGTGCGGTTTTAGTGCCAGCATCAGTTTGTGGTGGTAAATAGACAGCTACGAAAAATATAGATGAAAACTCTCCTGGTAAATAGTGTGGTCTACAGCTTATCATGAGATACTCTACCTCAGGCAAGCAAAACCTTGAGAATTCCTTAATATTCGATTTACTTTACCAGCTGTTGTTTACAAATATACACAGACCGCCACACCTTGTCTTACCGGAGGCAGCTGTTCTATCTTGCCAATGCAGCGTATATCCCGCCAGCTGTATGTTATCCATGTCGTCGTTCAGCCACAACTCAGTGAAACATAAGATATTACAGTTTTTAATGTCCCGTTGGTAGGATATCCGTGATCGTAGTTTGTCTATTTTGTTATCCAATGATTGTAGGTTGGCGGTTGGCTAATAGGACTGATGGTAGAGGCAGATTACCCACTCGCCGTCGGATCCTTACAAGGCACCCCGACCTACGTCCCCGATATTTTTGGCCTTGTCGGGTGTCTGAAGAAAATCCTTTGTGTCCGACTCGTTAAAGAAAAATCTTCATCCAGTACGAGGTGAGTAATCACTGTGTCACGCCCTGGCTCTGGGGACTCTTATATGTTGAGCCAGGGTGTTAGTTTCTATGTTTAGTGTTCTATGTTCTTGTTCTAGTTCATGTGTTTCTATGTTGGCCGGGGTGGTTCCCAATCAGAGGCAGCTGTGGCTTGTTGTCTCTGATTGTGAACCATACTTAGGCAGCCTGTTTTGCACTTGTCATTTGTGGGATCTTGTTCCGGAGAGGTTTGTGTTCGTTAACCTTAGGACTTCACGTATCGTTTTGTTGTTTTGTAAATTGTTGTTTAAAGTACTCATTAAAAGATGTACGCATATCACGCTGCGCCTTGGTCCGTTGCTTATGACGAGCGTGACACACTGTCCTGACATCCAGAAGCTATTTTCGGTCATAAGAGACGATGGCAGAAACATTATGTACAAAATAAGTTACAAATAACGTGAAAAACACACACAACAGCACAATTGGTTAGGAGCCCGTAAAACGGCAGCCATCTTCTCCGGGGCCATTCCCTAGTTAGCATTAACACAGCAGATTCAACTAAAGGCTTGATTTTTTTCTTGAATAGTTGAATCAAGTGTGTTAGTGCCAGGAGGAAAAAAACGGTGCTTGCATTTGGTTCCCCAGGACCAGGATTGGTAAACACTGCCAAACCTGTCTGGTAGAAACATTATTATTGATAGTAAAAGCTGCCCTCTGGTGGTTGATGCAATGTAATGGTCAGTGTTTCTCGGGGGGAATGCTAAACCCTTTTCTAAAATGATATAGTTTTGTTTACATCGTTTTAATTATACAACATGTTCATGTCACAAATGGATAGTTTATATAATATCTTAAACTTTTACTGCAGTGGGCTAAATCAGGGTCACACAGAGTGATTATTGGTAGTCTTAAACAAATCTACCTTGAAACAAAAGTATACACCTCAAACACATGGTTATGGGCTTAAAAATAATAAGACACCTGTACCATGTCAGATATAGAGTTGAAATGTATTCCATTTTGAGTTTGCATCCCAATATTACACCTTATATACATCACAGAAGACTGAAATATAACAAAACTGTTTGACATAGAAACAGCAGATTTGTTTTGTAAAAAAAAGTAAGAAATCGTTATTGATTTTGAAATTATGACAGATATTAATAACATTCCATCCATGAGGCCAAAGAGGGCTTTGGTCACTGACTGCAGTAAAGGGATACACCTATATTCTCAGGCACACTGAATGAATAGGCCTACCCTGTAACTAATTAACTTGTTTGTTGGCAGTGCCTCAATATTTGTTACTTTCTAATCTACTTGTGTGTTGGCAATGCCACAATAGTCTAATAATCACATTTACTGCAGAGTGCCCTTTTTACAGACAGAATGGAATGGTTCTTAGAAGGGCTGAGTCACGGGTCTTGCATAACTGAATTATGCTGTGCTACCAGCAGTTTGTTGTGAGGCAAAAATACACATTTATAAATGCACTACAAGACTGTTAGCTATCAAAATAGAATAGAATATATACTTTGTCTATTTACGTGAGAAAAATACATCAATCTTCTGCCCACCTATCTGCTTAAAAATATATGTGCTTTAAACGTAAATGTATGTGATTGTTTAGATCAGAAGATGAGGCATTCATAGCATTGGGAAATTCATTTATTGGTACATTCATTAATAGAATCATCATTCATGTAAAGGGTTTAGGAGACTTCAGGAGACATCATCTGGAGTAATGCACAGGTGAGGTTGCCTGGGGCACAGTCAGGACAGGTCCACTTAGGAGTGGTGCTTGTAGTCCTCCATGTGGGCCAAGACATAACCAGAGGGCCCCAGGATTGTGATAAAAAAGGTTGTCAATGCAATGGCTTGCTCCTGGATGAAAACAACACGTGACATATGTTTAGGCCTGTAACAATTTAATCTTGGAAAATAGAACCAAACATTGTGTTTTCTGGCCATTCAGTCTCAAGAGATATTAATAACAACTATCAGGCCAAAAAGGGCATTTATTGCTTTCATTGCACATGCATACCCTTGCACTCTTATACAAAAAACAACAACGATTGGCATATTAAAACAATTGGCAGATTAATTTAAGTTAGAATTGCATTATTCTAGCGCAATACAGGATAAAGTCCAACCAAATATGTGACAGTGGTGAGCCATTTCTATATCAGTTTCCTTCACAATGTCCTTGCTGTACTAGCTTTAAATCTAAATGTGCACAATCTGACTATATTTGGTAAAGTCTTACAAGGTCACATTATTGGCACAATTTCAAGTGGGCTCCATGCACATGTCATGAGCTAGACCACCAGGCAGGAAATGTGAGTAGTATAGTTATCGATGCCAAACACATAAAACAAATGTCAAACACATTTTTTAAATAAAGAACTATTCATGAATGCAACAGGCTACTAGCCTACGTGAATGAATGTACAGTGATAATAGCGTTATGCGCACTTCCCCTATACTCCCCTATACTCTGCGAGACAGAGACAGTTATGAATAATATCCATTTATATAAGAATATCACAATATCTGCATTAAATCATCTGACGTTGATATAGCCTCATAAGGCAAACTCAAGTCTGAAATCGAAAGACATCAAATGGATTTGTAATGAAAGGGCGAACTTTTTATGCGCGCTGCGGGATGCAATCTAGGAAAGGGAAAGTGCGCAGCAACCTGCCGCATGTAGCCAAACGTTACTTACGCCCGCGGATATGTGGTGCTTCGCAGGCTTGTGTGACAGGGTGGCTTTGGAGACGATCTGCGACCTCACTGCGACCCTTAGCAAATTGACTGAACCTCTGATCCCCGACATTATTCCTCTTTCGTGTATTTTTTCAATCCAATAGTCGTGATGACTCTTTCTGTCTTGTGCCCAGGAGAAAGTCCACAATGTCCCACAGGAACCCGTTGATTTTTGTTGTCTACCTGCCAAGTGTAATATAAGGTCATAGCAAATGAAAATAGTCTACGTATTGAAGTCCCCTCCCGCTGAAATAGCCTCCGGGTATTTAATTGGTCAGATCAACGGCGTTGAAGGCTCCGCTCCACAGACAGGCTGGCTGATACCAAGAGTTGCTCCAGTTGATAGGCTGTCCTCATGTTACCCCTGCCAGAGCCTCTACTGCAATGCTGCGCTGAGGCAAATGAACGCAAAAACAACTGTAAAGGTGCCCCTCACAAAACGAAACTGATTTATATGCGTAATCTTGAAACTGGATATGTTCAGGTAAAGTATGTGGAACTATGTGTGTGTGTGTCATGTGTATGATGTGTGTATAGTGTAATGTTATTGAGGCAAGGATTTATAGTGCTCTCACAATTGTAGCCTACTAAACTCGTCACAGAAGTCTGGTGAATGAGACTGCAGCTACCTTAGCCATACATCTACCGTATTTCCCCAACACTTTCCAGATGTTGTAGCCTGATTGTAGCACAATATTTTATTTTATCTCAACATTAATGGGCTAAAAGTTACCTGTATAAATACATTTAAAATAAAATGAATGAATATCTATGTACAGTGGGGAGAACAAGTATTTGATACACTGCCGATTTTGCAGGTTTTCCTACTTACAAAGCATGTAGAGGTCTGTAATTTTTATCATAGGTACACTTCAACTGTGAGAGACGGAATCTAAAACAAAAATCCAGAAAATCACATTGTATGATTTTTAAGTAATTAATTTGCATTTTATTGCATGACATAAGTATTTGATCACCTACCAACCAGTAAGAATTCCGGCTCTCACAGACCTGTTAGTTTTTCTTTAAGAAGCCCTCCTGTTCTCCACTCATTACCTGTATTAACTGCACCTGTTTGAACTCATTACCTGTATAAAAGACACCTGTCCACACACTCAATCAAACAGACTCCAACCTCTCCACAATGGCCAAGACCAGAGAGCTGTGTAAGGACATCAGGGATAAAATTGTAGACCTGCACAAGGCTGGGATGGGCTACAGGACAATAGGCAAGCAGCTTGGTGAGAAGGCAACAACTGTTGGCGCAATTATTAGAAAATGGAAGAAGTTCAAGATGACGGTCAATCACCCTCAGTCTGGGGCTCCATGCAAGATCTCACCTCGTGGGGCATCAATGATCATGAGGAAGGTGAGGGATCAGCCCAGAACTATACGGCAGGACCTGGTCAATGACCTGAAGCGAGCTGGGACCACAGTCTCAAAGAAAACCATTAGTAACACACTACGCCGTCATGGATTAAAATCCTGCAGCGCCAGAGCATGTCCAGGCCCGTCTGAAGTTTGCCAATGACCATCTGGATGATCCAGAGGAGGAATGGGAGAAGGTAATGTGGTCTGATGTGACAAAAATAGAGCTTTTTGGTCTAAACTCCACTCGCCGTGTTTGGAGGAAGAAGAAGGATGAGTACAACCCCAAGAACACCATCCCAACCGTGAAGTATGGAGGTGGAAACATCATTCTTTGGGGATGCTTTTCTGCAAAGGGGACAAGACGACTGCACCGTATTGAGGGGAGGATGGATGGGGCCATGTATCGCGAGATCTTCGCGAGACCTCCTTCCCTCAGTAAGAGCATTGAAGATGGGTCGTGGCTGGGTCTTCCAGCATGACAACAACCCAAAACACACAGCCAGGGCAACTAAGGAGTGGCTCCGTAAGAAGCATCTCAAGGTCCTGGAGTGGCCTAGCCAGTCTCCAGACCTGAACCCAATAGAAAATCTTTGGAGGGAGCTGAAAGTCCGTATTGCCCAGCGACAGCCCCGAAACCTGAAGGATCTGGAGAAGGTCTGTATGGAGGAGTGGGCCAAAATCCCTGCTGCAGTGTGTGCAAACCTGGTCAAGACCTACAGGAAACGTATGATCTCTGTAATTGCAAACAAAGGTTTCTGTACCAAATATTAAGTTCTGCTTTTCTGATGTATCAAATACTTATGACATGCAATAAAATGCAAATTAATTACTTAAAAATCATACAATGTGATTTTCTGGATTTTTGTTTTAGATTCCGTCTCTCACAGTTGAAGTGTACCTATGATAAAAATTACAGACCTCTACATGCTTTGTAAGTAGGAAAACCTGCAAAATCGGCAGTGTATCAAATACTTGTTCTCCCCACTGTACATATCCTGAAATGAAAACGGATCACCATAGGGCCACATAGTTATTCTACACAGCACTTAAAGGAGAATTTCGCTTTTTTACAACCACATTTTTTGTGAATGTTATAGAAGGGACCAGACACTTTTTTTGCGATTTCACTTGTTTTTGATAAACTTATCCCAACCAGCGATTAATTTCCACATCCTCGTTGTGCAGTACGAGGGATCTAAAAAAAACAACATGAACAAAGGCTCCAAAAACACCTAAATACATCCTTTTAGAAATGGAAAAGCTCTCGGTATAGTGATGCAGGTCTTTAGCGTCATTCCATTATATTATATTCCATTTTGTTGCGACTCGAGCGATACCTCTCCATCCATAATAGCAGCAGGCTACACAGAGAATGGAACAGCTGGATAGGGGAAACAGCTTGAGTACACACAATTGAATATAATGTGGTGGATAAAGTTCGGAATGACACAATTTCATATGTACAACATCTAAAGACCTGCGTCACTATGCCGTGAACTCGTTTCCGTTTCTAAAATGACGTATTTGGGTGTTTTTGGAGCATTTGTTCATGTTTATTTTTCAGAGCCCCCGTACTGCACCACAAGGATGATAAAATTAATCTCTGGTTGGAATACATTTCTCAAAAACAAGTGATACAGCAAAAAAAACTTGATTTGGTTGTAAAAAAGCAAACTTCTCCTTTAAAGTCAGGTGATAGCCACTGTGAACCATATAGAGTATCTTCTGCTGTCTTTCCAAAGATTACCATCATATCCAGCAGATGATGCTGTTGTGCTTGTTGTCACATTAAACTTTGGCAGCTCAACAAAAAATAAGAAATCACCATGACCTTATCTAAAAATGGCTTGTTGCACTTCATAATTTCTTAATGTCATAATATAAATATTTGGTAGTGGCCACATATCACTGGGCTGTGTGTTGATAAACACAATAGAATGGGACCTTGGGGAGTTCTGCTGAGCTGACTGCCTGTATACAAACATTTCATTTTCGTCATTTAGCAGACGCTCTTATCCAGAGCGACTTACAAATTGGTGCATTCACTTTATGATAGCCAGTGGGGGGTGGGGTAAGGGGGGGTAGAAGGATTACTTTATCCCAGGTATTCCTTAAAGAGGTGGGGTTTCAAGTGTCTCCGGAAGGTGGTGAGTGACTCCGCTGTCCTGGCGTCGTGAGGGAGCTTGTTCCACCATTGGGGTGCCAGAGCAGCGAACAGTTTTGACTGGGCTGAGTGGGAACTGTGCTTCCGCAGAGGTAGGGGGGCCAGCAGGCCAGAGGGGGATGAACGCAATGCCCTTGTTTGGGTGTAGGGACTAATCAGAGCCTGAAGGTACGGAGGTGCCGTTTCCCTTCACAGCTCTGTAGGCAAGCACCATGGTCTTGTAGCAGATGCGAGCATCAACTGGAAGCCAGTGGAGTGTGCGGAGGAGTGGGGTGACGTGAGAGAACTTGGAAAGGTTGAACACCAGACGGGCTGCGGCGTTCTGGATGAGTTGTAGGGGTTTAATGGCACAGGCAGGGAGCCCAGCCAACAGCGAGTTGCAGTAATCCAGACGGGAGATGACAAGTGCCTGGATTAGGACCTGTGCCGCTTCCTGTGTAAGGCAGGGTCGTTTTCTGCGAATGTTGTAGAGCATGAACCTACAGGATCGGGTCACCGCCTTGATGTTAGCGGAGAACGACAGGGTGTTGTCCAGGGTCACGCCAAGGCTCTTTGCACTCTGGGAGGAGGACACAACAGAGTTGTCAACCGTGATGGCGAGATCATGGAACGGGCAGTCCTTCCCCGGGAGGAAGAGCAGCTCCGTCTTGCCGAAGAGCAGCTCCGTCTTGCCGAGGTTCAGCTTGAGGTGGTGATCCGTCATCCACACTGATATGTCTGCCAGACATGCAGAGATGCGATTCGCCACCTGGTTATCAGAAGGGGGAAAGGAGAAGATGAATTGTGTGTCGTCTACGTAGCAATGATAGGAGAGGCCATGTGCAATTTACAGTAGTGAGTGCATTTATTTTCGTATGGGTCTCCCGTTGGAATGAATTCTAATGCATAATACCGTGTAGTGGGAGATGCCAAACAGTAAGTGGATAACATCCTTCTTTTGAAAGCTTTCTATGGAAACCTCAATCTCACACAGTGGGTGAAGTTAATTGAAAAGCATGTTATTTCCACTCTTACAAACATAGACACAGGTTTGTGATGTTGCAGCTCTTGTATCATGGTGCCAGAAAAACCCATCAGCCCTGTGAGTCTCATTTCTTCTGATGACAAGTGTGTGAGGGAACACAGCTTGATCAGTGGTTGTTGAACAATTAGTAGTGCAGTGCAGTTCAGGGTCAGTTTGGCCCTAGTGTGTGCTAGACATACAGTAGCCGACGTGACTCTGTGACACATCAGACAACATCATGATACTGTTTTTAAACACATTTTTTAAACAGATTTTGAAGATATACAAAGTCATTGTTCATAAACAGTGGAGTAAACAAACATTGTCTTTTCGCTGAACTGATTACCATTGAAGGCCACTAGATGGCGAAGGGGCATCACAAAAAATGTATGGGAATTTATTTCAGTGGGTTTATCCTGTATAGACTACTAGACTACTAGCCCCCCAATGGAAAATGACTGTGGGAGATCTAAAAAGGAGGTTGCATCTGTATATTATATATTGTTGCTTCAGTCCTGCTATTTAAAGTGTA